CCCCAAAACCCCAAAACCCCAAAACCCCATAAGAGAATATATGCTTTTCGCTTGATTATCTTTAAAATCTATAATTTAAGTTAACTTGCAAAAATGATCATCCCCACCAGGTTGGCTTACTAATATTATTAGAGGTACCTCTCTCATTATGAGTGCTTATTACTGGTGGTTGAACTTTGTATTCTTAAGGAAGGTTATATCCATATTTACTTGGATTAACCCTTTCATAGTTTATTTTTACTTTTCCACTTGATTTAATATGACTATGATTACCTAATGCGGATTAGTCATTTTCTCTTAAGTTGTTTTATTGATTCGTTAGTAGACTGTTTCTATCCATTGGAGGAGGCATGCTCTGCAAATTCGAGTGATAATTATAACTATTTGCAACGTTTGTTGATTCAGAAGATCTTCCATAAACGTTTTCTAGGTGCCTTCTTTGCTAGTTCTATCTTTTTTCCATCTCATACTACTGCAGTCTCTATTTATCAACCACTCTTTATGCTTTTGAGCCAGACCCTAAACCTAAGCTTAGAATGCTACCATTTGATAGTTATGGTAATCTTAGATCTTATAAGAAATCTTCTTTCATCGATCCATTGCTATTGTTTTTATCATTGTTTGAAATGTTATAGTGTCTTGAATTCACTTAAGCTCCCTATCTCTATATTTACTCACGGGATATAGGAGTCGTGTCTACCTGCTTTCTGAATCTCTCATAATCCTTCTCTGGGATCATTTCTAAGTTTCTATTCTATGAAGTTTTAAGATCCTTTACTGGATCTGCCACTGACATTGCTAGTGGTTTATATTTGTTAATCAAAGCTTTTTGATTTTATCTTTCAATCACAATATCTGATCGATCCATATTATTTAATGTTAAAGCCTCATTGTTAGCTCTTATTTCTTTCATTGAATTTATTTATGGAAGGAGTCTATTGCCAGAATGTAAGTTAATAGGTTCGCTTGGTAATCGTACAGATTAATTATGTTAACCAACAAACTTACTCTCTCTAGTCGATATATAGTTAGACCTTGGTAAATTTTTTGTCAATTATGCTAAATTCCTCGGTACTTTTATTGTATTGAGTAGATTTAAATTCTCTAAATTAAGCTCATGCTCTTAGGTAGTCATTAAAGGGTTAGGATTCTTTACTAAATTAAGTCTTTTCTTAACGATATCCATTGATAAAATTTATTCACAGGTAGGTCTTGTATTTGGCTGCACTTACAATAATGTTTTTATCATGACACCTAGATCATTTGAGTAACTTGTTGGTATTTTAGGATATACTCCTTTAAGTACTCTTTTATACAGACCATTCATATCCTATGCTCTAAATGGTGGCTTTAAAGTAGTCATTTCATATAGCACACAACCCACACTCCATATATCACTTTTACTATCATAAGGCTGATCTTTCCATACCTCAGGACTAGCATAATAAGGTGTACCAGTTTAAGTATAAAGCAGACCTTTTTTAGCAACCTTAGAAACATTAAGATCACCTAGTTTAGCATTTCCATCCTTGTTTAAGAATACATTGGCACATTTTAGGTCCCTGTGAAATATCTTCATTTAATGTAGTATCTTCAACCCTTTGATCATCTGAATTAAAACTGACCAAATAAAGCTTTCATCCATATTTGTACCATGCTTCTAATGATTCAAGATCTTCTGGTATAGATCTCCATCGTTTGCAAACTCCATCACTAAACACAGAGATGATGAAGCATCCTCGAAAAATGCTTCTTTATACCCAACAATATTGTGATGACTAAAGAAATCAATATGAATTTGATTAAATCATACTTAATCGATGCTAATATTCGGACTTCATTAAGAGCATTTTGCTTTTCTTTGTCTGAGAGTGATCCCATTTTAACCTGCAGTAAATGTAAGTTTCAAATAAAATCTTTGCATAATTTCTCAAATTATCTAATAACTTACCTTTTTTAATGCATATTCTTGGCCATCTGATAATCTTTTTACTTTGTAGACTACACTGTAAGCTCCATCACCTATGTTTAGAGTTAGTAAGTTTGTCTTATAAAATTATAGTATTATTACCAATTTTATTGATGATAGAGAAATCTCTCATTGACATTATTATATTTATTTTCCTTTAAAAATTAATACTATCCCAATTAAAAATCTAGATCTGATTTTATTTTAATCTCATTCCATCATTTTTTATTAGTTTACTCTTTCATTAAGGGGTTTTGGGGTTTTGGGGTTTTGGGG